AAATTGCAAAAATAATATATGATTGTATCAGTTTTGAATTAATGTTCTGTGAAGGGGTTATGTACGGCTGGTTAGTTTAATATACAATGACAAGTCATAATTTATTGAGCAAGTACATGTTATGTAAGCATTAATTTTATGAAGAGTTATTAGAAGCTGAAGCTATGAAACGCATGAAAGAGTGAAGTATTTACCTTCTTTTAATTGAAAAATGATAAAATGGTAATAACTAAATTGCTCAAAAAATGCAAAAGACAATTCCCTTATAATAAATTATAAATAGAAAGGATAATATCATTGTGATATTATTGTGTTTAACATTGTTATACAGAATAATTGTAGATTAAATACAGAAAATACTACAAAAATAGTGTCAAACTGTGGTATAGCATCTTCCTGCTATACCAGTCAGACAGTCAATACACTGATTCTCTAACCACTAATAAATATGCTGGTGGGAGGATAACAAGATAGAAAATGAACAGAGGAAGGACACACCTTTAAGATGTGAAGCAGGAGGTAACGTGACAGTATGACAGGAAGATAAACATGTGGGAGGCAGCTGACATGCATAAAATGCTTCTAGACATATTTAAATGTCACTAGTGTTCTATTTGTTTTCATGAAACTGCATCACTGAAGATTGCTGTGCTTTGTTTCCGTCCTCCCATGCATAATGTACAGTGAACTGTAATTTCATTAATCATTTATGTGTGTGTGCTGTTCATTGTTGCTTATTTTCCCCTTTTTTCTGCAGGAATATATCATACAATCCCATCATGGAGCTGCAAGTTGACCACTTTGATAAGTTATATAAGTTAAAATCATTGTAAGTATTTGGTGGTGCATCCCTGATAACTTTAAAATTTAAAAAAATCAATGTTTAGCATTAAATAAAACTGAGTTAATCAATAAATTGATATCAAGTAACCACACAAACTCGGTTTACAATCAACCTTTTATGTAAATATACTGTTTTTTTTATTCTAATTCATTTATTTTACTTTCATATTGATCTTATCTTATTGATCTTATCTTTCATGTTGGTGCCTGTCCAATTACTTTGGTCAGCTCCAGTTTTTGATTTGATTAGTTTGACTAGTTTGAAGAAGGTTATCATTTTTTAATGTTTTTCCATTTTTGAGAACCTCAGTATATTCTGCATATTGCTGTTTGAGACATTCCGGCAAGTGATTGTCATACTTTTTCTTCATACGCACAAGCTTGAATTCACAAAAGTCAAAATCTAAATAAACAGAAGACTAAAAATGTCTCTTTCTAGTAGAAATGTCCCCCATTTAGGCCTTGAAAGGCCATTTACCAAGAAGACAATTTGGTGAAAACACGTTTTCACGTTTTTGTGTACAAAACAAATCAGCATGCTGTATTGTGTGTGGCATCAAACTAAGACAAAATCATCTTTATATTTGCTAGGAGCATAGAAGGAATAGAAATTGGAAACATTCAGCGAAGGATGTTTGAACCTCTCAAATACTTGACTCATATGTAAGTACTCCATTGTGATGCTCTATGTTTAAACAGTAAATCCTTATTGTTCAGTCTGGACTGTCATAGAGACAATGTGTTACTCACACATAGAAATATTATCCTAGTAATGAGCTTTGAGCTAGCCTTGTTGAGACTGTCAAACTCCTCTTCCAACCAGGAGATGATTCAGTCAAGCTTAGTGTAATCCTTCTTTTCTGTTGCTAAAACAACTCAAGATACATCCATGTAAGTCCTGAAGAGATGCAACAAGACAGAGAACATGATAAGATGAATGCCTCTTCACCCTTGGATACAGTCACAGAGATTCTTTAACGTTCCCTTTGTAATAGTGCTTCATACAAGTTTTAGTAAGTGTCAGCTGCATTCAAATCTAACTTATTTTGCACAAGTAAAATGCATTTTAAAGCAGCAGTGCTCAAGCTACTTCATTCATAAAAAATTTGAAATATGCCAGCACCCTACCTTAGACATGAATGGAATAGCATTTTTATTTCACAAAGAAATTTAAAAAATAAATTTAAAGTTGCATCTCTATTTGAAGAAATTGTTGCACCTATTATTCAGAAAACTCCAGAAGTAAAGCAGTGA